GAAAGAGGAGAGAAGAGGGGGACGGGAGGGAGGAGGTGGGGGGGGACAGGTAACGGGCTGGGACGGCTGGGGGGTGGGTGTGAAGCTGAGACAGAGGAGTGCAGGGACAGGACAGGGATGTGGGTCGGGGAGGCGGTGGATGAGGGCCCTAGCCCAGGCTCTCAGGGTTGGGGGGCGGGGCAGGGAATTGGGCCGAGCACCCCCACCTTCACCCCAAATGTCCTACAAACCAGATGACCTCAATTCCAGAAGTTACTCCTGCCCGGAGGAGGTGGGAGTGACAAGGTGACTTTTCCTCTTTCCTCTCCTCCTCCTGCCTTACAGCAGCTAAGCCCCGCCCGCCTCTCTCCCTGTCGGTGTCAGCGGGTGTGTATCAGGCCTCTGCTGTGCGCCTCGCGCTGTCAAGCTGTCTGCTCCGAGCACAGCCCCACGCCTGGGCTCCCACCTGCCCAGAGGCGGGGAGCGGCCGCAGCGACAGTTTCCGAGTTATTCCCAAAACTTCTAAGAGCTGAATGGGAATTCTGTGGGCACCTGAGGGGAGGCGTCCAGCCTCACCGAGCAGCCACGGCCAGGGCGCGACCTGCTGACAGTCAGAAGCCCCTAGTAACAGCCACTGACTCATGATGATGGGAGACAAAGTGTGACTAACTGCATCGCCTGTAGTTGGTGGACAGAGTTTTCCAGACCTTGGCGGGAAGCAGGGAGGCAGATAATGGAATGGGCTGTGGGCAGGGAAGACACTGGGAGCCCCTGGCTCGAAGGGGAGGGGCCTTCCATCCCCTGTGGCCAGGTCTCCTCTCGCCGGTCCCTCCCCTGCTGGTCCCTGGGTGAGGGCAGGTGGGACAAGGACTGTCCTCTGTATGCTCACCCGAGCACCCGCCCCTTATCACTGCACCCCCAGAACGCCGTGCGGCACAACCTCAGCCTGCACAAGTGCTTCGTGCGTGTGGAGAACGTCAAGGGCGCCGTGTGGACCGTGGACGAGCGGGAGTATCAGAAGCGGAGACCGCCAAAGATGACGGGGTATGTGGGCCGGACCTGTACGGGGCACACACCAAATCCTTCCCACCTCGGGGGTGAGGGGGAGACAAGGGGTGCAGGAGCTCATGGGAGGCCGGAATCTGGAAGTGACTGGTGATTAGAAAGAGGACGTTTATGTCTTCCTCTGCCCTTACTTCTGCCTGAGAGAAGGGCCCGAGGGCATGGCCAGAGCTGGGACGTGGGCAGATGCCAGTCAGTGTGGCCATTGGTGAGGTGGCTGCCATCCCCAGAGCCACTCTCCCCCATCTTGTGGCAGGAGGAGCCAACCCCACCTCTTCATCCCACAGGAAAGGAGTCCCAGAGAGGGCGAGGGGCTGGGGAGGTCACACAGCAGACCCACGGCAGAGCCGCGGCTCTGACCTCCCATCTTTGATCTTCTCCACTGCACAGCAGTCTCAGTGGAAACTGAGGAACTGGGAGTTGGGGGTCAAAACCTCCCCCTCGGGCTTCCCTTCCAGCACCAGAGGCCTTCTCCCCATCCAGACACCCCACCGGGCCACCTGTTGCCTGTGCTTTTTGGCCCCAAGACCAAGGTGGGGAGGGAGAGGGGTCCAAGGCAAATTAGATGGATCTCTGCGTGGGTCCTGCTCCCCTCAAAGAACCCTTCTCCCGGGACAAGAGCCTCTCCACCCCCAGGCGGCTGTGGGGGCTGGGGCAGGGTCGGGCCGGGAAGAGGGAAGGGGAGCCATACCCTTCTGAGTGCCCCACATGCCAGCCATGTTCGGTATCGTCATGTCTCAGTACCCACTTGGAGTCAGGGGACCTGGGTTCAAATTACTTCTCCCCGCTGTGTGACCTTGGGCCACCTCCCTAACCTCTCTGAGACGCTCTGTAAACGGGGGGGGGGGCTAATCGTGGAAGAGGCCCAGCGTGGCGTCATCGCCTCCCTGACCAACTCCCGAGCACCTTCCTGGGCAGAGAGCCTTTGGTTTGGAGCGTGCGGCGCCTGGCTGAGCACACGACTTACTAGATGTGCCGACACTCAGGGTGGCGGGAAGGTGTGGATTTTACAAATACAGGCCTGTCGAGGCTACAGCCTGGACCTTCCCGGACATGGGAAATCCAGACCAGAGAGAAAAGGGGCTGGGACAGTGCGGTGTGAACGGGCACCGGGAGGGGTCCCTGTTCTACTCACCAGTTCAGGGGCCTGCTCCAGAGCCTCTGAAGCCCCAGCCCTGCCCTGTGCAGGGCTGCTGGTACCTGCCGGGCCAGGTCAGTGTGAGGACTGAGTACCTGGGGCACACACGGGCTCCATAGACCGTGCTGCCGGACAGTGGTGGGACCTCGGTCAGGGTCGAGGTGTGAGTGCGGAGCTGGCGAGTGAATGAACCAAACGCTGGTCTCTCTCCTGCAGGAGCCCCCCC